TAATAATAATAAAATAATAATAATAATAATAATAATAATAGTGAAATAATATTAATATTAACCGCTTTCCGCCCTCCATCGAAAGATGGAGTCCGCCCATGCTGGGGTGTATGTACATGCATACACCCCAGATCCCGCCGTGCTGCTGCACTGCTGCTCTTTTGTGGTGCAGCAGAAGTTGTGTTTTGCTTTGCTGCTGCTCAGTTCTTCGGCGGGCGTTTGCAGCCGCCGAGCCGTGGCCGCGGTGTCGCCACCAGAAGGCGACAGGCTGAGGTGTACGTACACCTCAGCTACGCTACACGCACAGTTTCGCGCCTGCGAACCAAAATTCCGTTTCTTAATATTTCTGTTCTTGTCAGCTCTCCAGTAGGAGGAATGAAATGATTGGGTTTAGAGGAGCTCTGTGTCTCTGTATCTGTCGCAGACATATATATATATATATATATATATATATATATATATATATATATATATATATATATATATATATATATTATATATATAATATATATATATATATATATATATATATATATATATATATATATATATATATATATATAAACATATATATATATATATATATATATATATATATATATATATATATATATATATATATATATATATATGATTTGTCGTAGACTGAGTAGTACACATAAACAACCGTTTGTACCCTCTAGCTACTGTGGGGGATAGTTGGGAGAGTCAGCATGCGTTTCAGGTGTACATGCAGGTTTTTCTGTGCATACACCTGGCACTCTGATGCATGCAAGTGTATATATTCTCTTGTGTACGTACACAGTAAAACATCGGCGTATCTACGATGAGGTGAGAGAGGGCAATGGCCCCTGCAGTCAGCTCCTCCTGTGCCTCTATGCATGCATGCGCATGCATTCTCTTTCTTGGGGCTTCCTATGCAGCTCCCGCGAGAGCTCCCCTTCTGACTGCAGAGGGGAGAAGATATAAGTGAGAAAGAGAGCTATGCGCGAGGAGAAGGGGTGCATGAAGTCTACAGACTCAAAACTACTACTACTAATAGTGACAATAATAATATTAATAATAATAGTAAAAATAATAATAATAATAAAAATAATAATAATAATAATAATAATAAAATGCTATGGGGGGCCCCAAGGAGACCTGCAACAGCTGATGCTGTTTGTGACATTGGCGGGTCGTTCGGTTCTTCATCCGGCCGACAAAGCGGTAGAGACACAAAAGTTTCTGCTGCTGCTGCTGCTGCACCTGCTGCTGCTGCTGCTGCTGCAGCAAGCGCTGCGACAGCAGCACAAGCGACTGCTGCAGCAGCGGCAGCAACTACTGGTGTAGCAGCACAAGCAACTGCTGCTGCAGCAACAAACGCGGAGTCTAATGCTAGTGCATCTGCTGCTGCTCTCTCACGCTGTCAGCAGCACTTCACTTCTTCGCACCAAACAGACCCCCCCCAACTTGCTGGGTGTTACCGAAGAGGCCCCCCCCCGTTTGTCCTGTCTTAGGGGCCCCAAAGAGGCCCCCCCCAGTATTCTGTGTGCCTGTGGAGGCCCCGAAGAGGCCCCCCCCAGTATTCTGTGTGCCAGTTGAGGCCCCAAAGAGGCCCCCCCCAGTACCCTGTTGAGTATTGCTGGAGGCCCCAAAGAGGCCCCCGCCACCAGTACCCTGCTGAGTGTTGCTGGAGGCCCCAAAGAGGCCCCCCCCAGTACCCTGTTGGTTGTTGGTCGAGGCCCCAAAGAGGCCCCCTCCCCCTGCAGTGTTTGTCTGCTGCTGGGTGTTACCGAACAACCCCCCACCTGTCCCCGCTGTGGAGGCCCCAAAGAGGCCCCCACCCCCACCGCTCGGTGTTGTTGTGGTGGACCCAAATAGGCCCCCTGTGGTTTGCTGCTGCTGCGGCTGCTGCTGCTGCTGCTGCTGGTTGCTGCCGAAGAGGCCCCCCCCAGTACCCTGCTGAGTATTACTGGAGGCCCCAAAGAGGCCCCCTCCCCCGGTGGTGGTGGTGGCCTGGGGGCCCCCCGAACCGAAGAGGCCCCCACCTCCTGTGCTAGAGCTGCCGAAGAGGCCCCCCGTCTTTGGTGCTGCAGCTCCTGCTGCTGTCTGCGCGCCACCACCTGCAGCATTTGTTGCAGCACCAAAGAGGCCCCCCCCACCTGTCGTCCCAAATAAACCTCCTGTGGCAGGGGCCCCCTGCTGCTGCTGCTGCTGTTGCTGCTGCTGCTGGGCTGTGTTCTGTGTACCGAAGAGACCGCCAGAGGCCCCACCAAACAAACCACCGCCGCCACCCTGTGGGGCCCCTGACGATCCAAAGAGGCCCCCCCCTCCTGTCTGTGTGCTGGGCTGCTGGAGGCTGCCGAGCAGAGAAGTGTTAGTACCCAGGAGGGCCCCCCCGCCTCCACCCAAAGACGCTTTATCTCCTGCAGCAGCAACAGCAGCAGCAGCAGCAGAAACAACCAACACGCACCCTGGGGCCACCGACCCAAAACGACAAACACCACAACCCTTCACACAACGCACACTCGCCAGCAGCAACAGCACCAGCTGCAGCAGCAGCAGCTGCAGCAGCAGCAGCTGCAGCTGCAACAGCAGCTGCTGCAGTAGCAGGCCGAGGGACGAGAGGCAGCCCGATGGTGTGTTGTGTTTACCTTGGGTGGGTTGCATGTCTGCTGGCTCTTCATCTTCGCTGGGAGGCAGCACCTTAACTCCTGCCTGCTCCAGGGCCTCCTGGGCCTCCTGCGCCGCCTCCACTAATACAAGCGCCTGCGGTGCAGCAACAGCAGCAACAGCAGCAGCAGCAGCAGCAGCAACAGCAGACACAGCCCCATGCAGCAACAGCACGCCAAAAACAACCACCACACCCGACCCCGCATGCACACCTCTTTATACACAAGCAGCACGCAGCAAGGTCACTCTACCAGCAGAGACGGATAGTAACGTGGCGCTGCCCCCCCCCCCCCC